AAACGTTTTCATGTGCAATCAAACCCAACTCTTCGCCGGGGAAAAGGGGGCCAAATAAATAAGAAGAGAGCTCAAGATGCTGTCCTATCAGCGGCAGCAACAAGCCAATCAAAATGCAATTTCCACTCGTGCACAGGACATAATTTAACGACACACATGTGGAGCTGTAACAAGCTTTTCACCCGCTTTTCACCCGCTTTTCCCCGGGCTTTTCCCCTGCCTTTCCCCGTTTTTCCTCGCCAGTTCCATCAAGGTACAAATAATAAATATGCAAACAAGTTGATTCAGCGGGCTCAGCTGTGACTATGAATTTGTCATTTTGTTGGCGCATCAGCGAGGGAATGATGAAAATATTTCTACAAATAATGCCTGGGCGACACTCGTTGCGTATACGCAATGTTGACGTTGATGGGGTCACAGCCTTACAACGGAGATATAAAGATAAAGATAAAGATAAAGAGCCAGCGACTTCATCAAAACAGAATCAGCTGCAAGGCTGTGCGATGAGCAAACAATTGCCCAAGGATACGAAAAAACTCCATCTATTCGGCTTTCCAAATTAAATTCCTCAAGGAAACCGGAGCAAAAAATCCCCTACATCAGCGTCAAATGGTTGAAAATTCCAATCTTCCTCTCTCTTTTTTGTGTACTTTGAAATTTTGTTGGGCTTACACGTGTGTTAAGAGTTTTCCCCCTCTCTCGCAGGATTTTCCGAGCATCCCCCAAATATATTTCCAACTCAAAGTGTTGCCCCATTTGCAGTTAATTATCCTGACGTCACTGAGCGTCCACTTGAGTCCGTCCGGAAATCAACAAACATTTCCGCTCAGTTTTCGGGATTGCAGGAAAAAAGGGCAAGCATTAGCATAATAAATTGGCCCAGGATGGTTTATCGAAGGCAAGTGAATAACTTCATCGCTTAGCCGCATTAATAACGCGCTTTAATAAGGACTTGCCCAAGGACTCCGCCATCGAGGTGGTGCCGACTACGTGACCAGATAACTAAGCCCTATGGGTGGGGAAAAAGTAGGAGGAAATTTATAAGGTACGTTATTCTTCATTCAGGACTACACAGAGAAAAAACTACACTTAGAAGTGTTTTTAAACGGGTTTTTAACTGCTAACTGACAACTTAAACTGGAAATAGAAATTTCTGCAGATATCTATAATATCTAGGATATCGTAATAATATTTCACGTTTTTATCAATATCAAAATCAATATAACTGGGTTCTTAAATTAAGTATGCTGTCAAAAAGAACTTTTACAAAAACTGTAGCATACTTTTAGACACCTTTCTCTATTATCATGGTACAATTTTAAAATCACCCTACAAGGTTTCTTTTTTTACTTCTTCTTCCCCTATTTTTTCTGTGCGTTTTGTTATCCGAATAGTTCGCCCACTCCCCCGTATCGGTAGCCCATTGTAGCAGCCTTTAGGTAATTGCGCGGCCATAAATCTCTCCTTTGGCTTACTGCACTGACTCCGGGGCAATTTAACGCCTGTCCGGGTGTTGCTGCCAAATACCATTCCCATTAAAGAGACACCGGAGTCAGGATGGGAATGGATGTGCAGGTGCGGATTGAGTTGAAAAAAAAAAAGATCCAAGGCAATTAAGGCCAGCAAAGAAGAAGGTAAAAAAAACACGCTGAAACTGCCTTCAACTTTTTCAATTAGCCAGGTGACCAAAGTTATCGCTCGGAAGAAATCAAAATCAAAATTACGACCACGCAAACATCAAACCCAGAAAGGAAGTGAAAGGAAGGAAAAACTTTTTGTTTGGGGTCTTTGGAACATCAACTTAGAGAACCCTTTCCCAAAAACAGAGGAAACCCGTCAATAATCCCGATTAGAGCATGTGTATATGAAATATTTATGCTGTGGTCTACGAAAAGGTCGCTCCAGAAAGCATGAATTATGGATGGAGAATACAAAGGATCCACAGTCTTTAATGCGCTTTAAAGTCATCTGACCATCTTCCAGTTCACTTTATGGCAGGTCGGGCAATCATAATGAAATGCCCTTTTATTGCCCCAAAGTATGCAGCACATTTTCCGAGCCTAGAATGATTTTTATCCCAGTACTGGCTATTTCTCCTTACTGTCCTCAATTTATTGTTTTAATTTTTAGTCGTACGGCCACAAAATGGCGTCCTGAGCCCTAAAAAACCCGGGAAAACTTTCGGGGAAAGTGTTAAGAACTCGTGTAAATTCCATTAGGGCTAAAAAGTTTCTGGCAAAAGGGGTGGAGATTCCAGCCGAAGGCTCTGTCAAGTGCGATAAATCAGGAAAGGCACAAGCAAAAGCTTCTACAAGACAAAGTAAGGGAAAATTTGGTAATTAAAAGCAACGCGTGGCTGGAATTATGCAAGGACTACGGCTTTAAGCTATAAAAATGCTAATTTCTTCCAGGACAACAAGCGCTGAGAGTCCCCAAAATACATCAACTAATCAATGTCAATTGGATTGGCGTGGGAAATTTGCAAGTTACTCGCCGCTTTTCTTGGCTTTGCGAAAAATGTAGGAATCTAGAATCTATAAATATGCAGCGGCAATTACGCATCTGAAACAGATTGCACCGCTCCCAAAGATAAGCGACCTTGAGCCAGCTGCCAACTGAGTGACAAGCTCATTAGGCGGAGAGAGCGAGAAAGAGCGGACTCTGCACTGAAAGAAATATCTATCTATCGTAATATTTAGGGTTCCCACAACAAATAAGATTTATTATAAGATCAAGAGAAATATTTTATGAGTAATTGTTAGCTTTATCAAATATAAAGAAATTAATAGAAGAAGTCCTTATATATGTAGTTTCTCTGAATACACACACTTCACAGATCATAAGAATACTAGTATATTATTATATATAATCAAATTTAATATCTATATTTAATATTATTGTAATAGAGATTATTATTTTAAAGTACTTATAGAATGCATTTCATTAATATAGATTGTTTACCGTGTGGCATTCATCACATGTCTGTTGCGTTATGAGAAACTGTTATCAAACAGTTAATAAATCAAGCCAAGCCCCAGAGTAAATTAAGCCCCGAGCAACAACATCCCATAAAAACAGTGAGAGGAACTCAAAAGGTAAACAGAGTTCAAAGAGATTCTTCAGTTGGCAGTCTTTCAAAGACTCTCTCCCACTCTCTTCTAGCTTGTGTAATATTGTTTTTATTCAATTAGGCAAACAGCAACTACAAAAGCAGCAAAAACAAGTAGGTCTACTATTTACAAGCAAACCAATATATTTGTTGTCATTTAAATGCACACGAGTGGAAAATGGATAGCAAATAAGTGAGGAAAATAGTCGAATACCTGACACACTATTTTTAGGGAACATCAAAGGGGAAAGGATCAAAGAAAGTGGCGAGTCTTAATTGAATTTGCTTTATTTTACAAACACTTCATAAAGACTTCTAGAAAATACTAGATATACCCATATTTATAGTTAAACATATGTGTATACCAAGTTTAACATCAGTAAGGTCCCCCATTTTTACAATAAAACGCACACGCATTGCGTAGTTACACAATCGATTTGTAAGAAGTTTAATCAAGAATTGAACAATTGAATCAACTTGATTGACGCAGTTAAAAGAACAATAAAGACACGAGAGAAATGAATAAAATAGGGGACAGTGATCGAGAGGGGAGGCTAATCACATGTTGTGTGAATTAAAAGCAAATTGTCAGCATTCATTTGCACCGCATCACTGCATTCGTCATCGTGTGCGGGTAGGGGGGGAATTAAGGGGTGCACAGAAAGAAATTGGGCTATTTCTTTTTTATTAAATTCATAATTTAACAAGTTCTTGGAGTTTTCTACATTATCTCATCTGGATTTTAACCTAACTAACCTTCTTGAACATTATAAAATACAAGTTATTTATTCCCGTGTATAAAACGAATGAAAATTCATTTGACCAAGTGAAAGTACCTGATGGTTCCAACGATTCTAATTCCCCTGAGCTACCGAATTAACGAATTTGTATGAAAACCGACACGAGTCTCTAAACGCACAAAAAAAGGTGCACAATTAAAAATGAATTTGTATTTTTTGGTAAGGACTGGTAAAGAGAACCAGTCTCGTTTTTTTCCTGTTGGATTTTGTTTGAAATTCAGGCAAGTGTGAAACTCGAAACGAAACAATGCACAAATATTTGCTCATACACGCTTAAATAAAGTAAATACAAAATCGTGCTGGGTACTTACCAGTCGAGCTGAAAAGAAGGGGGTTTGCAGGAGGGTAAATGGGGGTTCCCGGGGCAGAGGTGCTTCTTCATTAGAGACATTGTTAATTTATTATTCATTGTTGACCCGCACGTGGACTCACGCAACGTCCGTTGGAATAAAATATATATACTACGTGTAAAACACGAATATATAAACGCAAATGGAAAAGGCACGAAATGGAGAAAACGTAGAAAATATCGAATGGATTATGAATATGGAAATCGGGGGGAAGGATATTCGATTGCGGGATGCTAATTTTTGGCATGTTATCAAATAAAAAATCTAGGCCATGCGTCACTCTGCGGTGACAATTCAATAAATGACGGATTAGAAAACCAAATCGATGCGAAAATAGGAGAGGAAAAGCTTACATAAAGCGCCAACTGAGGCGCAGAATTCTTTATGCAAATGTCGAGCACACGCACCGCCGCCCACTCCAAAAAAAACACCCCACCACCCACAATTACCCCCCATTCAAGGCTGTTCAAATATTTCGAGAGCGGGGAAATTAAATTCGGTCGATTAAAAATGGCAGGAATAAAGAGAATTTCACTTCCCTCTTGGTGGCTTAATTAAAAGATAAAAAAGAGTCCCCCCAAAAAATGTAATGAGCAAATATCCGGCATTGTTCCGGTTCAATAGAAATTCGAAAATCCCGCCCCAAATTGGCTCAATTCGGTCTCTTTGGGACCCGTTTTTTCTACGATTAGTATAATACGGTATATAGGGAATGCAAAATCTGATATCTGACTGACTCACCTTATGACGTAGTTAACGCAAACGACGCTCTGGGGCTTCAGTTTATCATAGACGATCGTGGCCTGGCTAAGAATCCAGCAGAAGCCACCATATTTTCCCAGAAATCGGTAACGAGCGGTTTCCCCCTGTCCCTTGCTCAGCACTGGAAAAATACAAAGAACACAAATCAGGGAATTAGTTGGGGAAATAAATGCATGTAATAAATTAGTTAAAAGCCCCCACAAGTAAATGTGGTTCAAGTTTGCCCCGTGCTCTTGGCAGCGAAATCATATTACAATCGCATAATAACCGCCACCACAAAGACAATAAACAAAATCTTCTGCGGTCTAAACAGCCCCAGCCATTAAATGTGTCATAATCGAGACACAGAGCTCTTGGACCAGATACAAAACCGAATCGGTTACATTTTGGCACATTCCCGGTACTCCGGAGATCTTTTTGCCTAAATAGATAGCCCGGAAGCAATATCTTGGTTACCAAGTAGGGATGGTAACTAGGATACACCGGAAAAACTTTAATTTAAATTGTATAATAATATAAAAAGTAATTGAATCTTAAATTTGTTCTAAGCTTTCCCTGGTTTTGGATTTTATTTTAAACTTGCAATAATTAAAATTAAATTACTAAAATAATGGATCTTTAAAAAGTCTGATAATTTTTTAGGTTTAATTTTTTAATCGGATTTTAAGTTTATTTCGAGGGCATTTATGCATTAATATCTTAGACGTTTGAAATTAGTTTATGATTGAGAATTTTGTAACCCATTTAGTATTAATTTTCCCCAGTGTTTTTTAGCTGGTTGGCAAATTGTCAAGTCTCAAATTACGTCGCCAAAAGTGCCGGGGCATAAAAATTAAATAATAGCAACTTGCTGCGAGTGGCGCAAAAAGTGGGCATGGCTAAGGGTCTTAGGCATTTTGATTGAGCCTTTTGCTGGGCGACAGAAAGAGACAGAAAGCGACTAAAAACGTTGCCAAGTAATTTGGCTCAACGAGGACGCAACATAAACTCGATTTTAATTAAAAATGCCTCCCAAACCTGTAGAAAAAAGAACGAAACTGGAATAAAATAAATATTAAGGACCAACCACACGTAGGTGAAGCTTTTATCTGTGTTTTGTGACAGCTTTCTTGGGCCCCAAAATCATTTCAATCAAATTTTTATGGACGCCACTGGCAGCGACAAGAACATTAAATAAATGATGAAAATTCATAGGAATTCGGGCAAAAGGCAATTGAAATTCATGGATGCTTTTGCGGCACAGGTCCAGAAATCGGGATTAGCTTAAGTGCCACAGGTCACAGGTGCGCAGAAGAGGGTCATATCCTGTTTAAGTCGCAGCGATAAAAACAAATTTGCATAAAAACCACCAAGAGTTAATTGAATTACTAAAGTTTATAAGTGCCGAGCGACCTTTGGTTACAATTACACAAAACAAATAAAGGTTAAGGAGGGATCACTAAAGTATGACGAAATATTATACTTATTATAATTTAAAATTAATATGGAAAAATGATTTTTCTTAAAATTCAGCGAAAAGAAATCATTACTAAATGTAGTAATTTCCCAATGAAACGCACTGTAGCCCAAGGCTAAACCTCAAGAAAAATATCCTTAGTCTCTTTGCCTTTATTTATTCATTCAGTTAATTCGAAATCAGCAGCAGAAAATTAGTTTTTCCTTTTCTTTGCTGCTCAGTGGCTTAGTGGTCTTGTTTAGGTCCCAAAAAATCGAGAAAGAAAATAGCGCGGGAAAACGGTTGGGGTAATTATGCGGGGTCATTAATAAGACAAGATCTGAGGAGGCCTCCTTGAAGTCCTCAAAATCTGCTGACAGCTCTGTGAGATTGATGCGAGCCAGACATATGTGGAAGCTAGTCGAGTTAAGTCCTTGGAATAAGAAAATTGAAAATGCCCCCGAGAAAGTATGCTACAAAGAAGTGTCCACTAAATAAGGAGGATTTTCAGAGTTGCTTATAAAAAATAGCTAAAATAAAGTTATAAAAATGTACAAAAAATAAATATATACATTTCTTAAATTTGAAATTCAATAGGAAATAATAAGAGACATTATCTGCAAACTAGGTAGACAAGTAAAGAGTACAGCATTCTATTAATTTTGAGAATAAATACTTCTTTTAACGCCATTAACTTCAAAAAATCTTCAACCATTCAAATTTAAAAGACCTTAACCTTGTTTTTAACTCTTTATTGCAAATATAAATAATAATTATATATTATTTAGAGACATATTTAATATCCCGGGTGTTAAATAACCAGAAAAAATAGCTAAACCCAGGAACACAGCCCCAGAGCTCAGACGATTGCCATTTGGCAGTGTTTATGTGGAATTAGCAAAGTGAGCAGACGGAAAGGCAGCAGCAGCAGCAGCAGGAAAACGCAGGAAAATCAACTGCAGTCGGTGGAAAAGCAGCTGCAGCAGTGAACTTGATTTGCCCTCAGCCAAGGACTTTTCCCGGGACTTTTGCCGGAATTTTGAGCTTGAGCTTGAGCTTGAGACGGAAAATATTAAAATATCTACGCGCGGCAGCAGCAAAGATCATTTATCAGCAATTTTTTAGCAGCATTCCTTGGCTGCCATTTGGAGCCATTGCCATTGCTGGTCCAACAATTTATGAACACGAATGCAATCCGCTTTTCGCATGGCAATGGCCATGGCCGTGGCAGTGGAATATTGCCGGGACTCGCAGGACCCCATAGGAGTGGGTAAAACGGAAGGAAGCCGGCCATTTGTACAAATAATCAAACAGAGAAGTTGGTAAAAGGGATAAAACCAGACTCTATTCGAGTCGAATGCAAGACAAACATCAAAACCGCATTCAAGGTTATGTATCAAGCGGGATGAGCACGGAATGTTGGGGATTCTGGGGATTCGAAGGATGCAGGATGCACAGGATGTGGATGTGGGATTCAGGATGCGCACAATGCATGCTCAGACACGCTCGAGTACACGGGCAAATCCTGGCAGCAACACAACAGTAAATCATCATCAACTCAGCGCACGAACAGAGAGTTGCCAAAAGGATCGGAAGGAACAGGTGCAGCAGGTCCTCAGTAAGTTGAATCCTTGGGCGGGTCAGTTTCGGCAGTTTAGGGTTTACATCAGAAAATACGGTAATCAAAATATGTATATATATATATAAATTTCGAAAATTTGATATCATGGTGCACTTAAGTACATCTAGTTTTTATGTTAAGTATACTTAGTATTTTTGGTACACAAAGTTAAACATTTTTATGAATAAGTCCCCAAACTTCGTGGATGAGTTAACCCCCTCCAGCCAGAGTTCACTGTACCCATTCGTTTGCTCATCCTGATTGCTGACCAGAGTCCACAGTTGAGGGCAAGGAATGAAAAGAAGATGGGTCGAAATCACATTGGCACAAGTGGATAAGGAAATAAATGTTTGGCTTTGGCTGCCCAAGGAAGTGCGCATAAATCAAGGATTTGTTTGCGGATTGTTTCGAAAATATTCCAAAGCACAAAGGTAGTTGACTCGGGAGCGTCTTAAGTTTAGACGTAGCATTGACCTTTTGGCTTTCGCTTAAGGGCGGCCACGTGGCGTATGCGTAATCTGTCCTAATTGAATTAAGCCGTGACATAATCCTCAATCCACAAAGAAAGCGGACTTAAAGTCAATATGTGCTGGGGAATTTATGCAAAATTTCTTTTTCCTTTTTCATTTTTACTATAGCTTATTGAAAAGGAGCTGGGGGCACACTTTTCCTGCGTCTTCATAGCCCGCCAGTCGTGTGGAAAATTGCATTTTACCACCTTTTCTTTGGCAGCCAAGACAGCACATTACACAGGACTAAAGGACTAAAGCAGCAGAGCAGGGAACTCAAATCCCAGTTAGTGGCCAACGACTTGAAAGGGTTTCTCCGGGCATAATGCCAACTTACTGCCAGCAAATAGAGACTTAAAGCTGGTCATTATAAGTTAGAGTTGCCTGCAGTGCCCATAAATGGGTTAATGAATGTTCCAGGATCTCTTTGTCCAGTAAAAGGAGAAGTTCTGCTAGAGGGAGGAATATATAGTGTAGGCCAAGTTTTGTGGTCATAGGGGAGAATGTATCAGGGATACTTGAGTATATATCAGCTGGCCAAAAAGGAAAGGGCATTCTCCGGACATTTTGGTAGACCGCCCACAGCGAGGAAAGTCGACAAGTTTGTCGGGTTCGATGGAGCCCATTAAAAACTACTCAAAATGTCAGCGGGAATATAAACCAAACGGGGCTTGTGGCAAAAAGGACGAGCCACAAAATGTAACAAATTTGTTTAATTTGCCATCCTGAAACACAGTAGTGAAATATTTAGAACTAAAATGTATTATTGTGTTTTTAAAAATAGAAACCAACAGCAAAATGTGTTATATAAGTATGAAAAATAAGTATGCCTTATTGAATTGCAAATAATATTTTCCATTCAAGCGGAAAACTGTTATTTTCTGTGTATGTCACAGAAGGAAATTTAAAATTCCCGGTGAGAAAGCGGCGGAAAAAACGAGAAGTCAAGAAAAGCGGAGGAAAAAAGTTAATTGAAAACAAAAGTCAAAGAATTTGCATATTTATTTGCCGCACAGCCTCAGACTTTCGACTCTTTGCCACAAGCCAATATTTATTTATGCGTGCGGAGAATTTAAATCACTTAAAAGCTGACGAAGCAGAGGAAAACTAAAGTGCAGCAGGGCTCTCTTTGTTTTGCATTAATTAGAATTTAACAAAAATAAATGCTGGGTAATTGAAAACTTTCTCCCTTTTGCCAAAGAGATCCAGCCATTATGCTCATTAATTCCATTCGCCCGGAGAAAGTACATATCTCCGCCTCCTTGGCGTTCATTTAATTAACTCAATTTGAGCGGAAGAAAGACATCATCAAGACATCAAGAGGGAGAAACTGGGATTGGGAACTGCCTCCAGGTGTTGTGAATATCTGAATTTGGTACAGCCAGTAATATATGTAGAAGTAGTGTGGGGGAGAGCCCTCTGATTTCCCATTTTCCCCTTTTTGGTCTGTTGAAACAATTAAGTGCTGATGGCTGGTAATTTTTTCTCAGCTTTCCCCTGGCGGAGCAGCTGCAACTTTATTAAGCAAAATTTAATGGCGGTTGTTTTTCCCACCA